CCCCCCGGCAGCTCAGGGACCGCTTTGCCCGCCAGCAGCTCACTTTCCCCTCCCCACCGTTGCAGAGGCAAGTAAAGACTGGGATCCAACACGGGTGTACATGAGGCAGGGGTAACTAACCCTTTGAATATTTACTGCATATTGTCAGTGCAGCATGGATGGGTATTTTTTAAATGAATGTATAGATATATAGAGATATAGATATCTGAAAAATGCAAAGAATAACTATATAGATACAGATATTCTTTGCATTTCTCAAATTCAACTTTCCAAAAATAATTTAATCCTACAAATGAACCCTGCAAACTCGCACTTACATCAGTAACCAAACACGATCCCAATGCAGAAGCTGAAACCCACGAGTAAGAATTTGAAGGATCTAGCCCAAAGAAAGAAAATACTGACACAATACTGACAAAACTGCATCTCTTCCATGTGTGATGTTAATTCACAGTGGCAGAAATGTAGTTGGAAACGTAGTTGTGGGGGCTAGAACAGTAAAATTAACTCATTCTTTCAAAACGACTGCTTAGAAAAACAGAGAAATAAAGACTGTCTATGTCTGAAGCAAAGGGCAGAATCTCTGTCAGTGTCATAATCTAAGTAATGCAGTAAAATATCATTGCTTGTTATCAGACAAAGTCCTGTATTAATTCTTAAGGGAAGGGAGTGAGTGGGGGAAACTGTTCACTTTACTATGCTAGGTTTGGCTTTTGCTGCCTCAACTCAAAAATGACATAGGAGAAATAAAAAAGGTAAAGAATGGCAATGTAAATATTAAAGGCCTGGGGAAAGGAAGCAGCTGTCAGGAAGAAGAGGAGATTTCTCCTTATGATGAAGAAGGTAAAAAGACCTATAATGTTCTTTACTCTGCTCTCCTTCATACTGCCCCCCCCACATCCCCCATTTCCTGGAGCACATGTAAAAGTGCCCATAGAAAATGTGGGTTTGGAAGGGACCTCAGGAGGTCATTCAGTCCAACCTCCTGCTTAAAGCAGGACCAGCCCTAATTATATCACCCCAGCCAAAGCTTTGTCTAGCCAGGCTTTAAAAACCTCCAAGGATAGAGATTACACCACCTCTCTAGGTAACCCGTTCTAGTGCTTTACTACCTTGTGAGATAATTCTTCCTAATTTCCATCCTAAACTTCCCTTGCTGCAACTTGAGACTATTGCTCCTTGTTCTATCATCTGCCACCAGTGAGAACAGGATTAGATATCTATAGCTACACCTATACCTTTATATTATTAGACGCATTTTAGTTTTAATTTAGAGAGAGAGAGAGATTGGACTAATATTTGAGGTTACCACAAGGTTTCCCAGAGAGTGTGGGCAGTGCTCATCTCTTTGGGAAGCATGAAGGACTGGCTGGGTAAGGTAGAGAGTAGAAAAACCTCTCAATTGATATCCTAAATTTTTAAGCTTTCATTTAAAAAAAAAAAAAAATGAAGTCTGTTATCCACATGTCTACTCATTAAAAGATATTAAAATAGAAAGCAAGGAAGTATTGTATTGTCATATAATGGAGGTATATACCAGCACTTCCCATGCATGTGTCTATGCAAGTAAGGGAGCAGGAATGGAGTGATATAGGGCACTGACAGAAGTGACAGTTTGTCATGCGACTGGGCCCCTGAAGTATTCTAGAGCCATGTACTGACAGAAATGCACGGTTGCAAAACTCTTAAAAATACCTAATCATTTGACAACCTGAACTCTGAAACAGAGCACCTTCATTAATGTCTGTCAGCGAGTCCTGGGAGCTGGAGGTGCTCCAATCCATCCGTCCCACCCTCTAGCATAGGCTGAGCAAACCCCAAACAGAGCTCTCTCTCTGTGTTCCCTTCCCGCTTCCCATTCTGAAGATAGCACCAGAGCTAGGAAGGGGAAGGGGAAGGGGCAGGGCTAGTGGAGCATGGCTTCAGACACATAGCCTCTCCAAACTGGAGCTCAATCCCCCAAACCCTCCCCCCTGCGGAGGGAGCACTATAATTTATGGTGCATCCTGTAAAGTGCCATAAGTTACAGCAAGGAGAGATGGGTTGTAAAAAGACTATTAATCTCATGCCAGAGCTGTTAGACAGGCAGTGTATGACTGGTTCAAATTTCTTAAAATGGGACTTAAGCTTCCAAAGGTTTCAAAATGTTGAATTAGAGAGAGAGGGATGGAGAGAGCTAGAAGTGCAACCATAACATTTCAGGATATAAACAGATTTTTGGTCAAAAAGAGAATTTTCCCTCCTTAGTACATATAGCATTACAGAATTATGGGCATAAAAATAATTCAAATCTCTCTTCAAAACGTTGACAACTGACCACTGTCAGAACAAAACTAGCATAATGTTCCATTCTTATATATGCAACTTCTATAACCGTTCTAGTGGTTGGAGAATGTAGAAGATGAAATTGAAAGTCAGACAGGAACTAAATGAAAGCAATAGCATCCATGATGAAAATACAAGTATATTGCAAGCCTCACAATACTTTTGAATTCAATTTGAAACCATCAAGAACCAAAACTCCCTACAAAAATCTGCAAGTTACTACATGTCTTAGTAACTGTAAAAATTGATAGTGTATATACTGTTTATATCCACACTGAGTATGACAGTGGGCACAAACAAGCTATTGTACAGATCAAGTATGCATTCACATGCCCAAACCATACAAAAATATGTATAAATAGTTTTTTGAATGAGCCATTTCTTATTTCTTGGATAGAGTTTCAAAAAAATTAGTCTTCTACATGTGTCATTTAAGGAACCTGTGTTCAAAAATGAAACTCTGAATCAACTGAGCACAAACTACTGTGATGGACTACTAGAAATACAATGGAACAAGGGTCCCTATCTCACACAGTACCTTTGAAAATCCCACCTGTCATGGATCAAGCATTTATACCACTATGTTTTATAAAAATGTGTGAGCCATGTGATAACCAAGCCCCCAGCTCTGTAAGCTATGCGTGGCTTTACTTTTACTAGCAACATTAGTAATGAGATATCTTGCCTGCTTAAATTTAAGCATATGCATAAGTATTTTCAAGAATCAAGGCCTCCAAAGGGATGATATAAAAATGAAGGTCAGTACAGCAGAACATAGAAATGCAATACAATCCACTGGCATCAAGAAAATTATGACGCGTTACATGAATGTGTCTAGTGTTTTACTCTGCTGAGATTAAAAAGGAATTTTTCATAATCACCCCTCAACTTGATTTCGTTTCCACCAACACAAATTCCAAATAATTCCTCTGCCTTTAGAAGAGTTATTCTGGAATTACACCTGCAAAACATGTATGAGGATAAGCCCCTCCACCCTGAAAATGAAGACATTCAATTGTTATCAGAGTTCACTTTCATTTCATAAAGCTGACAGCTCTTTTCTAAACTGAGGCCAACACATTGGATTCCTGAGTGAACGTGAGCCAAGAAATGTTACATTTAATGCACTGCTCCACCTGCTTCCTTTGGCAGACACACATGCATTTATGATGCCTTCACCAGGTTTAAATTTCCCTTTTTTAAATAGATGTTTAAGGATATTTACACATGAAGAAAAAAAAATCATTCAGGAGAAATCCATATATTTCAGCCTTTCAAATTACTAAATATTACATTAAAAAAGTAAAGCATTATCTTAGTCTCTTAAATGTACTGAAAAGAATGCTAATTGACATATACTTACTTTGGCAGCAGTTTCTTTAATGGACATGCTGAGTGACTGTTCTTTTTCCTGAAGGCTAGAAGGATTAAAATAAAATAAAAATGTTGACCTTCTCCACTAAATCATGCTCTGTTACACAATACACTTTTTTCCATATAGAAGCACAAAGGTTTCTAAATGACTCATCCCAGCATGAAGGGCCAATTTCAAGATAAAATTCCTATTTAGTTCAAATTCTCGTTCAGTCTTTATAATTGTCATATTGAATGAAATAGTTTGAATGTTTGTAAAGGTTGCCCATTAGCCAGTTTCAGGAAGAAGATAGGATTTATCTCCTTATCTAGCTCATTGTTTTGGAGCTACGTGCGAAATGTCCTGACTTCACTTAAAGTCTTAATTTAAATTGTATCTTTAGAAGTTTTTTACAAAGAAAGCAAATATCCTAAATTCTGAGACATCAAAGCCTAAGGCCTTTTAACCAGACTGGTAAAAAAAAAAAAACAAACAAAAAAAAAACGAGTATTTACAGGGATATGGAAGGCTCCCCAAGAATAATTTAAAATGCTCAACAAAGGTAATTTCTGTTGAGTAAGATCCGAGCCCAAATTTGGGAGGTATGATAAGTTGAGTAGGAGGAGCCCAATGATGGCAGCTCACTCAATAAAAACCTGTAATTTACTGTCCCAATTTGGAGGTGACTTCACTTGCAGAACAACGAAGGAAGAATCGCAAGTGTAAGCTCGGATTAGATTGATCACCTAATCCAACCTCTCCGTGAACACGAATCTCTTAGTTCACGCTGAAGCCGCGGAGCGCCCAAAAGGGACTGAAGGAAGGGGACTTAGTCCTATCACTGGTGAGCCCAGCTCATTGAATCGTATTGCTGAGGCCAGCCTATTGAACCATACTACTGAGGCCAACCCATTAAATCGTACTACTGAGGAATGAAACCATATTTTGGTATTTGGCTTCTCAGAATTCTAGGATTGTAAGTATATTATGAAAAATAATAGTATTGATTCAAATTTAACTTTTAGTTGTAATTGTAGTTGTTTTTGTAACACTAATTCTTATAGCATTGTTTGGGAAGGAAGTGCATTCGGAGCATTGTTTCTGATACATGTAATTATTGTGTTTTTAATGTTTGTGGTGTTTCTTAAAGCTAAGCAGTGTTATATACATAGCAAAGAGTTTTAAAATAAAATTGTGTTGTATAAATTAAGTGTGTAATCATTGTGAAATCGTGCAATCAGCTAACTACTCCCCCAGCCAGTGCATCAAAACGAATCAGTAAATTGTGTGGGATTTTCTCTATTCCATAACCCACTAGAGACAATAATCAATAACATTAACATGTGGATCATCAACATGGAAAGTCACTCCTCTTCTCCCCACCCCCCCCACCACATTCTAGCCTCATTTTTAATTAAATAATATATTGAGTCAAATCTAAGGCATGGATTTTTCCCCCCATTCAACATGGGTGGGGGGAAACCCCTGTCTTGGATTTGAGTACCAGTCCAGGGCAGGCAGCTGGGGCTCCATGGGGGACGCAAGTGGCATGGGGCAGGTGGGGCAAGAGGAAGACTGCCTCCTTTGTCTCCCCCTAGTTTTGCTTTCCTTGCTCCTTGCCACTCAGGTGCAACAGTGGAGGGGAGCTTGCTTACTTCTACGCTTTGAGAAGCACAGTAAAACTAGTCAGCAGTCCACTTTACCTCCTGATTTTCATTTACTATATAAATGCAAATGTTATTTCTATTACTCCTACTTATTAATTATACAGCAGCAGTGCCTAGGAGTGCAGGCCAGGGACCAGGACAACAAAGTGATGGACCATTCACAAACATATGACTTCCCCAAAAATTGTGTAATAAAATTACTGGGTTTTTTTTGCATATAACTATTCTTTTTTCCTTAGAAACCATTGCTGGAAATTGCAGCACACATTATATGCAAGAAATACAGTAAGAGCAGTTTTTACCTTACTAGACAAAGGTAAAAGTAAAATCTGCACATGCCTGCAAAACAATGAGTAGGCTCAGCTTCATAGCTGCTGCTTCTCAGGTACTTACTACAAGTGAGAAGTACAAATACAAAGAAAATATTTTTTTCCTTGCATTCTGCCTTTCTAAAACAAGCTGTATTTTATTCCATGGTATGCTGTATGCTAGGAAATATAGTATCTTATTGTAGTCATGTTTCTAACACTGGTAGAAAATACCTGAAATCCATCAAGCTGTCTTCACTAAAAAAAAAAAAATATGAAAATATTTCTATTTTGATTCAGCAGTGTAATACAAGTCTAAATATTTGGCCCGCACTACTCAACTGTACGCTCAAGCCTTGCAGGTACAACCCACATGTGCACAAAACTAAGAGGCCTACTAAATTGGGGCATGCATCAATGAATAGCCAGTGATATAGGCTACAGTGGCCACATCTACACAAGATGCTGACTCTGCAATCATTACTGCACAGTCATTTAGTACTTCTATAAACAAGTAACCAGAGTTACTGCACAGTATCATTGTCAAACAGCTTTTAGGTAACACTGACTGTGCAGTAACTTGTTACTACTGCACAGCAGCACTGCATCATGCTTCCTGCCATGTTACGCTACTTGCACAGTAGTAACAAGCTACTGCTCAGTCAGTGCCTCATGTAGATGGGGCAAGTATATACCATATTCTGAACCTGTAGTGTGAAAAAACCTTAGGGGGAGGGACTATTCAGGCAGCAAAGACAAACACTCAAAAGTTAGAAAATGTCAAAAATGCAAGCTTCATTTGACCCCTTACCTCATTGCTATATTAGTAAACTATTTAATTTCATGATCACATACTCACTGCTATATTTTTTATAAACCTGACTCATTCAGCACACACTCTAGATGGCAGTCACTTCATAAGCAGCAAATTGATATTTCATTTTACGTGTGGCCCAATTCCTAACTTAAAGCATTTGAGTGCTTCACAAAAATTCCTCGTTTTATGTAAAAGCTATTAAGTCACAGATTCATGAACATGAAGATTACGCAATAATTTTGAGTGCTTATTTTGTCTTTCTTAGCCTGATCTTTCTGAAAGCGTAGTAGGAATAGTGCTTTATGTGTTCAAAGCATATCTTTCAATGCCTTCACTTGCAGTCAAATCCCAAGCACTCTTGTACATTTAAGATCCCAGATGTCTTAAGCTTGCTACCTAGAAAATGAGGAGCACTGTTAATGACTTCCTGTAAAAACGTGGTTTAAGTATCCTGCCCAGACTTATATAGAGGCTCTGTAGCAGAGGCAGAGACAGAATCCAGCTACTTGAAGTGTCAAACCATTCCTTCCTCTCCTGCAACTCCATCTCAGTCACCATCTAATCAGAGAGGTGCCGACTGTGTGTTTGCTTGCATTCTTGCTGCCACTTGCAGAGAATGAAAGGCCTTTGGAGGGGTGAAGCTGAGGGGCTCCCCACTGCCCATGAATTTAAATCATTGCTCCCAGCAGCCCAGCTAGGACTGCCAGGCATGGGGAATCAAAGCCTCCTGGCAGGCAGAGTAGAGGGGCTCCACACATCAGGTAATTTAAACTGCCACATCTAATAGCCCTGACGTACAGAGATTTAAATTCCCCAGTGAAGGAAGCCCCCCAGCTTTCCCTGCTCCTGATCAGGGCAGCTTTGGGTTGCTTGGAGAGCTGCAGCTGCCATACGGACTGGTGTTGACAATCAGCTGACTGTTGGCACTGGCCCCCAGGACAGCTCTGGGACAGCTGAAGACTCAGGGCTGCCCAAGGCCAGAGGGGACAATCAGCTGATTGTCAGCTCTGGGCTAGTTAGAGAGGCCTGTCAGGGGCTGATTCTGCATTAAGCCCAAGATAGCCATGGTATGTGAACATACCACACATTCAATTTAAGGCACTGTACAAACCAATCACAAAAATGTTCTATATCAGGGGTTGTCAACTGGGGGTACGCATTCCATATTATATGTGGATGGCAGTCTCACGTCTTTTGGCGTCTGTACACATGTTCCAGGGTGGTGGAGGGAGGGGACACACTTTAATTAGTGCCTGCAGCATCTTTTGTATTCAGCATCCCACACTTCAAAATGGTGGTGGGGGCGCTGTAACTAAAGCTTGTTCAACAACCTGCTGGAGTGTGCTAATTAGCACAGCAGACTCTATTACCTCTTCTGACGTATGCTAATTAGCACACATAGGAGCAGAAGTCCATCACGTGTATAGGTGCCCTTTGAGACTGGTTTCCTATTTTATGGAGCCTTAAATTGACACAATTGACACATTAATCATACCATGAATGTAACAAGTGCCACAGAATTGTGTATCACTACCTCAATTGCCTAGAAACGTAGTAACAATAATAAAAGCATCTCACAGCAAATATAGCACTCCAGGATTGATATACAGTATTATATATATATAAATTCAGCCGTTTGCTGACTCTTCTCATTCCTGAGCTATTCTACAACCATGTATTGATGATGCAAATCTACTGCAGAACAAAATTAGGAAGGTACTTACAGAAAGACCAATAATATATGATCTACCTCTTCACTGCTCAACTCAGCAACATTATAAAAGAAGAATACCTCCCATATTTTTATTTGCCCCAGAACTCTTGGCAATAGTTACAAGCTGATACAAATTTCTGGGACATTTACATAGCACAGAATAGATGCAAGGTAACTGTGAAAACTACAGGCCATTTACAAAAAAAAAAAATCTGTGGTTATGTCTACAGTGAAGACTGCAGTGTAGTGAAAAGGTCCCATGATCAGCCAAGATGCAGCAGCAATGAACTCTATATGAGCAAATTTCTCCATCAAAATCCTTGCACCACAACTGGAATGATATGTAGTCCAACTGTGTCCACTAAACTTGTCTTTTTACCAGGCAAAGTTTAATCCAAAGTAATTTATTTCCACAGGGTTTTGTGCTCCCAGATTGTACCAAAAAGAAATAACAAAAACTTTTATCATCAAGAGAAAAGAAAAATATCCAGTTCATATGACAAGACAGCCAAGATCTTCAGCTACTGAGCTAAGACCCTAGGTACATTAGCCATGACA